CTATTACCCGTGGAATTACAACATTTTTCTTACATCCCATTGATTTCGATACTGCACTGCGTGCCACTTTAACAGCATTCAATATGTCAAGTGGCTTATGCTTTCGCAATTCGGTGGTTGCCTTTTTGATGATTGATGCAAGAGATTTTTTCACCACTTTCTTTTTCTGTTGCTTTGCTCCCATACCAAATTTCTTTTTTAGCTTCATCATGTTTGTAACAAAATATGATGCAGCCCTCTCACTAATGCTGCTATCCGCTGCTTTTACTCGATCCCAAGCCCTATCAATTAAAATCGAGTCTGCTTTATGACGTTCCCCCAAATCCTTTGTATTTGAATATGCTATATCGTGTTCCCTACAAGCTTCGTCTAAGCCGTTGATCCCCCCGATCACCGCGAGCTAATCGTTTCTCTAGCTTCGTACCAGGTCCACAGTAATTATACCCAGGTATATGAGCCTCAAAGGGAAGAGTGTTTATTAAATTATTTATGAGACCTGTACCCTGTTTGACATTTGATTTATGACTGGTAATATTATAAAAATGTTTACCCATTTTATATCAACCTCAATTAACGACTGGTTGTCTTTGAATGAAGTACATATCTCTAAAACATGCGTTTATTAAGACAAAATAAAAAAATCATAGTAAAAAACATTGAAAGTGGTGGTGATGGGGAGAGTAAACATCGGCGTCACAGTTCACTGCTCCCAAACACGATCAGAGCTTTGGTGGTAGGTCCGTCCAATTGCGGAAAAACTAATGTGATGATTGCCTTAATCGAGGACCCAAACGGCCTGAAATTCGAAAATATATACGTGTATTCAAAGAGTTTATATCAACCGAAATATGAGTATTTGGAAAAACTTGTAAAACCAATACGAGGAATGGGATATTATACATTTTCAGCGAATGACAGTGTTTTGTCACCAGAGGAAGCTAAAAACAATTCCATCATGGTGTTTGATGACGTAGCGTGTGAAAAGCAAACTGCTATTCGCAATTATTTTTGTATGGGGCGACATAGAAATATTGATTCATTCTATTTATGTCAAACGTATACACATATTCCAAAACATTTAATACGAGATAATGCAAATTTTATTATAATGTTTAAGCAGGACGATATGAACCTTCGTCACATATATCGAGATCATGTTCATTCTGATATGAATTTTGAAACATTCATGGAAATTTCACGAAAGTGTTGGGTCGATAAATTTGGATTTCTTGTAATCTCTAAAGACGATGATATGAAAGCTGGACGATATAGAAAAGGATTCGATCAATTTATTATACTTGAATAAATAATAATGATAATATAAATATAATAATATTATTGTGAATAAAGTCAGTTCAGACTCAAGCATCATAATGACTACATCATTGACAATAGCTCTAAATGGGAATACATCTGTACTTAGCGAGAATTTTTTCCCACAAATTGAGCTAAAACGTAATTATGAATGTGCTCTAATTGATTTTTATACATTCAATTCTATACCGAATGTTGATAAGGGGAACAACTTATTTCATATTGGGAACAAAGTCATTGAAATACCAATTGGCTCATATGAGTTTGATGATATTTCAAAATATATTATTAATAAGCTCAAGGAGTATGAGCTTCAAGACAGTATAAAAATAGAGTGTAATATCAACACTTTACAAGTTCAAGTTATTACTAAAAATGAGACCGTATATTTTAATCATGAACGATCAATTGGTCGTTTATTCGGATTTAATAAACGAAAATTAAGACCACATGAGAAAGAAGTTTACATCTCGGATAATCCCGTCAATATTTTAAAAATAAATTCTGTTAGATTGGAATGCAACATTATAAGCGGGTCATATGTAGGGAATAAACCAAATCATGTGCTTCATGAATTTGGAATCAATGTCCCCCCTGGATATAAAATGAACATAACACCACGAAATTTGATTTATTTGCCTGTGAACACCAGAGAAATAAGCACACTAGAAATACGGATAACTGATCAGGACGGAGATTTAGTTAATTTGCGTGGAGAAACTGTATCAATCCGTCTCCACTTACGACCGACAGAATGATTATTTACAATAAAAGGGGTACTCATCGATCCTTTGATAACATTATCAAATCTAAAGCTGAAGTGAAAGCACCATCATCTTCACATCAACGCCCGGCCCTCACATTAAAAAATAAATTGATTTTGAAATCGTTGGGATTTAATATTAAATAAAGTTTATCAACTAATATTCAAATGAATGAGATCTTTTATGTCCAGGAAAAGCCTGCTAACGATGAATCTATTATTAAAAAAGAGTTTCATTCATATTATCCATATCAGCAGAACTTCAAAGCAAATGATGAAGTACGGATCAGTTTGCAAAACCAAGATTTGTATGTCCTTCCATGTGAAAGTTTTCTCCATTTTGAAGGAACGCTTAGCAAAATTATTGACTCAAATACAGGAACGACTAGTACAAATGGCGTTAGCGGTTTGCTCAAAAATAATTGTATGGCCTATTTTCTGGATGAAATAAGATATGAGTTGAATGGCTGTGAATTGGATAGGACGCGTTTTACTGGAATAACAACGACTATTAAGAACTTTCTCTCAGTCGGCCAACAGGAAGGAGCGGCTTATCGCAATGCGGGGTGGAGTGGCGGGGACAATATCCCTTCTGGAGGACATTTCAGTTTTTCTGTACCTTTAAAAATGTTGATGGGGTTCGCTGAAGACTATAAGAAAGTCGTCTTAAACTGTAAACATGAGCTCGTTCTGTTACTTACGAAAAACCCTGATGATATGTTTGTGAAAAATGTTGATGGAAAAATCCATAACATTGCTATAAATAGTATAAGTTGGAAGATCCCCCACATCGTTCCAAGTGACAGTGCTAAAATTAAAATGTTTAATGTAGTAAAGAGTGGAGCTAGCCTCCCACTCGCATTCCGGAGTTGGGATTGTTATATAAATCCGACATTGGTTCAGGGAACACATCATATATGGAATGTCAAGATGTCTGCAAACAGAGAACGTCCACGTTTTTGCTGTTATTGCATTTACATTGAATGGAGAACTAATTACAAACAATTTGAGAAATGCAAAGGTATATCTTAATTCTGAAGTATATCCCTATGAGGATTTGAATGTTAAATATAATGAGAATCGGTTTGCTGTCTTGTATGACATGTATACAAAATTTCAAGAGAGCTATTACAATCGAGAACCCCGAGCTCTTTTATCTCCGATGGAATTCATGTCGAAGGCTCCTATTGTGGTTGTTGATCTCTCATACCAGAACGAGAGTGTCAAATCAGGAGCGACTGATATAAAAATTTCCACTGAGCTAACTGTTGCGAGTGAGATAAATACAAAGGCATATTGCCTTCTCATCCATGATCGACTAGTTGAATACTCGCCACTAACTGGATTGGTTCAGCGTATCGTCTAACAATTTGGAAAGGATTACTTCATTTAAATTTTTGAATTCATTGCAAGTAGACGTACACGGATCCATCAAAATGCTAGCACTAAAAAACAAAGACATCATCTCAACCAGTAATAGCATTCAACAACTTGTAATAAAAATAAATAATTTCATGAAAATGTTTAAACATCAAATTTTCCCCGAACATGAGCAATATCTGGAGGAGTCGCTCAAATATTTTTATAAAAGGATGGCTGATACACCGCTGGTTTCTAATATTCATGGGCAACATTTCACATCTTGTTGTTGGGCACATGATAATGTCGAGGATGGAGTTGATACATGTGCTTGCCATTTCTTTACTGTACGCTCACAAAAATCATTAAAAATTATGAAAATGTATGTTAATTTGGAACATCGCTTTTGATTATTATACTTGAAAAATAAAATTATATTTACAAAAAAAATAAATAAATTGATAGCATTTTTTTAATGGTGGAAATGGGATATGGGATATTTTTTCAGTGCAGCCTTTACTTTTCAGATTGACTGTGGATTTGAGTTTGGGTGGATGGGGTGTTTCACATTGCACCGAGTGTTGAGAAACCGTTACAAGTGCATCCTTCACCCATCCAGATTTTTGGTGAGCTAATTGAGCAGGTTGTTGCACGCACTTGATCTAGTGTAGGTGGGATGAGGGTGGGAAAATTTGACTGCTCTGATCCTCTTTCCAGCGGCCCTTCAGTGGGAAAACAAGTGACCTTTTTCAAGTGAGGTATCTCACAGGGAAAATCACAGTCCTGAGTCGTGGGTGGAAACATGTTTCGACTCTGGCGCCCTTGTTCACTTACACCCCGTCCCTTTATCAAGCGATGGATGTTGCCTGAACGTTCACGTCTGGCGCCCTTGTTCACTTACACCCCGTCCCTTTATCAAGCGATGGATGTTGCCTGAACGTTCACGTCTGGCGCCCTTCTTCACTTACACCCCGTCCCTTTATCAAGTGAGGATCGTGGGTGAACGTACACGGGATGCACCGCCGCCGTGCGCCCTTTTTCAATTGCCTTAAGTGGGTGAACGTACACGTGTGGGTCAGGATCACTCCTGTCGGTGCAGGATCTCCCCGGTGCGCCCTTTTTCAATTGCCTCACCCTCTAAGTGAGGGGTCGTCGGTGCACGTGCATCGATCCGGGGTCGCTACCGGGATCGCTCCGTTGCATTCGCACTCGTATCCATATCCCTGTGGGAATCCCTTGAACACTTGATCTCAAGTGTCCTTTTACATGCACTGACCCTAATTTATTCCATCTTTATTACCCCCTCTTATGACAGGTTCATATCTCCCCTAACTAAGTGCATTTTTATTATCTAAACCACTCTAATTTTGACAGCTAATCCATTAATTGCATTTTTATTACCCTTTTTACCGACATCAAAGGTCCCGAAACCAGGCTTATTTAACTACCCATGGCTGCATATGAGAGTGCTGCGACTGACGAATTACAGATTATGTAATGTTATGATTATGAATTATATATATATTGCAGCGACTGAACATTCTCCCGGCCGTTGAACGGGTGTTCAACCTTCAGTAATGTCGAACGAAAAACTCCGTGGGGTAGGTTCGGGTGCTGGCTGTTCACTTGTTGTCCGGGGATTGGGGCTGCATTGTGGTGTTCTCCAATTGACTCGTCGATATCGTAGACTCAGGGTCACGATCAGTAGTATTGATATTGATAGTGCCACATAGGCGGCTACTTGATGATGGTGTGCAGCGCTGACTTGATTTTGGTACTTCGCATCTTTTAGGTTGGCCAGTTGTTGTTGTAGGGCATCTAATTCGCCTAATTCGGCGTCGGTTACCTTGGTTGTTGATTCTCCGCCTGATTTCGGTGTCTCTTCTATGTAAATCTTGGTGATGTTGCCAAAACGAACATATGCTGCTTTTGCCTCGCTGCGCCTTGTGCTAAATGTACTAACACTGATTTTTGAGTTGCGCGCCGTGCAACCTGCGGTGAGTGATAGTAAGCCTGTTCCTTCCATTTGTACCGTGGAGGGAACTCCCTTGCATACCGCCTGCAGTTCGATCGGACTGTGGGTTGCAAACATCCATCTTTTTCGTTGATGTATTGCTGACCATATTAAATCGGACTTCGATTTAGCAGTCTCACATTCCGTTTCAGTCTTGTTATTGAACAATTGAAATTCACATCGATTATCTACGCTAAACGTAGCTTGATGATTGACGCATATGTGTTCATCCTTTGGCAATTGTAGACATTGATCAAACTCGTCAGTAGTTAGTCCCATGAATTGATCTCTATGGGCATTGACAGTTATGATCCTTGTTTTGAGCTTGAATTCATGCCAGCTTCCTGCCTTCCATGCAGTGATGGGGATGACGCTGAAAACTTCTTGCTGCGCTGTGGATACTAATGGCAGCGTTATTTTGAAGATAACATGGTCAGTGGTTGTTGTCCCCTCGGCATGCATGATTCGATAGAGTTGTATTACGTCATTTGAAGAGACTGGCAGCTGTTGATCCGTTGGGATGTGCTCCCTAATCTGATCAAGTTGATCCCTTAATTGTTGGGGAGAAACTAGCATGGGGCTAATTGTTCGGTGGCGGATGTCGGTAAGAACGTTGGTTATCTCTTTTTGCATTCGCTGCATTCCATTTGCCAGTAGAGTGAGCTGGGCTGTCAGGATCATGAATGCTTGTTGCAGATAGTTGCCTTGATATTTTCCTCGTTCTCTGCTGAGAGCATCTATTTGGCGTTCTATGTTTCGTATGCGGTCGTTGGTAGCTGAATTGCTTTTCCTTACCACATTTATAGTGGAATCCAAGATTGATGTTTGGTTCTTCAATAGCATCATTAGTACGTCCTCGTTTGATTTGACATCGTTTATGACCTTGGACATATCTTCAGCATACTTGGAATCCAGCACGCCAAATAATGAGTTCGCCAATTTATTTGATTTTCTTTTCTTTTTATTTTATTTTTTATTTCATTTTGACAAAATTAGCCCAGTGCTACAAGTATAAAATACTTACCTATTATTAATGCCCTGGTCACTTGGGTTAAAATTAGACAGGATTTCTACTTAATACCTAGTACATTAATTAATGTGCATCAAGTTAGCAGGGCAACTTTGGATTTTCAAAATTTTGATTATACCATAATTTGCCGTTAATTATCCGTTAATTATTCGTGAAAGAAAAAAATTTGCCGTTCAATTTTTTATCCTTTTTTTTTGATGTCCTGCTAACTTGATATCAAGTTAGCAGGGCAACTCCTGCAAACTTGAACATTTCCAATTTTTTTTCTCATAATTTGCCGTTAATTATCCGTTAATTATTCGTGAAAGAATAAAATTTGTTGCTCAAGTTTTTATTATTATTTTTTAAAAACATAAAGTTGCCCTGCTAAGTTGATATCAAGTTAGCAGGACAACTTCTAAAATCCTTCACATTTCCAAAATCTTTTTTGCCAGAATTTGCCGTTTTTTATTCGTTAATTATTCGTGAAAGAACTAAATTTGTTGCTCCATTTTTAATATTTTTTTTTTTATTTTTTAAAAACGCAAAGTTGCCCTGCTAAGTTGATATCATGTTAGCAGGACAACTTCTAAAATCCTTCACATTTCCAAAATCTTTTTTTGCCAGAATTTGCCGTTTATTACACAGGAACACAAAATTAAACTTTGTGAAATTTCCACGAACCATTTCAAGTTTTCCATGATATTTGGGTGCTCCTGAGTAAAAGTCCCATACAAAATTATTTTCCATCACCTACAGGTTCCGCGGTATACCTAAGAATACAAAAAACCTATGTTTGCCGACATTTTGAATTACGTGGCCTATATAATTGGACTTACCTTTATTATTTTTGGTAGGACCTACTCTCAATACATCACGGCACTACTAAAAAATAGTCCCAATCGTGAACCATTGCCCATGTCTTTGGAATTCGACGCCAAAGTTGAAACTCCCAAAATTTTCAACATTTCTGTGATGAAAAAACAATTCTGAGAATTAAATCTTATATGGAACTAATTTTAAATATTCATTGAATCTATTGTTCATTGTATTCTTTAATTTCGGTTTAAAGCGTTTTCATGAGGACATTTTATTGGATTTATTAAACGAATAAAACAGCTTTTTTGGTTTTATTATCTACTCCTATTTGCTGTTAAATTTCAAATAAGTCAAGGCAACCTATAAAATAGTAGTAGATATGTTTCTTTTTATATATAATATACATTTTTTCTTTTTGACTAAACTTAAATATGTAAGGATTATCGCTGGCTACTAAGCTGTCTTAAAAATGTTATGTTCGGAATACATTTTTATTTAATATAAAACTAAATGTATATTATATATAAAAAGAAACATATCTACTACTATTTTATAGGTTGCCTTGACTTATTTGAAATTTGACAGCAAATAGGAGTAGATAATAAAACCAAAAAGCTGTTTTATTCGTTTAATAAATCCAATAAAATGTCCTCATGAAAACGCTTTAAACCGAAATTAAAGAATACAATGAACAATAGATTCAATGAATATTTAAAATTAGTTCCATATAAGATTTAATTCTCAGAATTGTTTTTTCATCACAGAAATGTTGAAAATTTTGGGAGTTTCAACTTTGGCGTCGAATTCCAAAGACATGGGCAATGGTTCACGATTGGGACTATTTTTTAGTAGTGCCGTGATGTATTGAGAGTAGGTCCTACCAAAAATAATAAAGGTAAGTCCAATTATATAGGCCACGTAATTCAAAATGTCGGCAAACATAGGTTTTTTGTATTTTTAGGTAAACCGCGGAACCTGTAGGTGATGGAAAATAATTTTGTATGGGACTTTTACTCAGGAGCACCCAAATATCATGGAAAATTTGAAATGGTTCGTGGAAATTTTTGGCTGTGTACCTGTGTTATTCGTTAATTATTCGTGAAAGAACTAAATTTGTTGCTCCATTTTTAATATTTTTTTTGTTTTAGCAGTTGCCCTGCTAAGTTAATATCAAGTTAGCAGGACAACTCCTGAAATCCTTAACATTTCAAAAATCTTTTTTAGCCAGAATTTGCCGTTTATTATTCGTAAATTATTCGTGAAAGAACTAAATTTGTTGCTCCATTTTTAATATTTTTTTTTGTTTTTTAAAAATGCAAAGTTGCCCTGCTAAGTTGATATCAAGTTAGCAGGACAACCCTGAAATCCTTAACATTTCAAAAATCTTTTTTTGCAAGAAATTGCCCTTAATTATTCGTTAATTATTCGTGAAAGAACTAAATTTGTTGCTCGTCTCTTTCAGTTTTTATTTTAATAAAATGATTTGCTTTGTAAATATTTACAAATCGGCTTCGTTTTATTAAGAAGAGTGGCAACACCAAATTAGTTGGAAAGTGACGCGTGTGTATGGCCATGCATGTGTTAGTGTTAGACTGCATGCAGGCGGCTGGACATTTTAATTATAACGTCTGCGTTAACATTAAAGGAATTCCTATTCTTAATTTTTATAGTTTGAATTAAAATGTCCAGCCGCCTGCATGCAGTCTAACACTAACACATGCATGGCCATACACACGCGTCACTTTCCAACTAATTTGGCGTTGCCACTCTTCTTAATAAAACGAAGCCGATTTGTAAATATTTACAAAGTAAATCATTTTATTAAAATAAAAACTGAAAGAGACGAGCAACAAATTTAGTTCTTTCACGAATAATTAACGAATAATTAAGGGCAATTTCTTGCAAAAAAGATTTTTGAAATGTTAAGGATTTCAGGAGTTGTCCTGCTAACTTGATATCAACTTAGCAGGGCAAGTTCATGTTTTTTAAAAATAAAAATAAATATAAAAAATATGCTACAAATTTAATTCTTTCACGAATAATTAACGGATAATTAACGGCAAATTATGGTATAATCAAAATTTTGAAAATCCAAAGTTGCCCTGCTAACTTGATGCACATCATTAATTATTATATGAACTAATTATTTATTTATTTTATTTTATATTATTATTTTTAGTTATTTTTTATTTTTTTTTTTTTTTTAGTTAATTTAATTTGATTTATTTTTATTTTTATTTTTATTTTTTTTTTTTTTTTTTTTTTTATTTTTATTTTTTTTTTTTTTTTTTATTTTATTTTATTTATTTTTATATCTTTAATTACGTATTAATATGAAGTTTGCTGTTTGTTTATTTGTTTGTTATGCGTTGTTTCTTAAATATAGTTTTACTTTGGAATTAAATTGAGTTGCATTCCTAATAGTTTTGAGTTCATGGGGTAATTGGTTCCATAGACGGATAGCGTTGACAAAGAACTGCCTCTCGGAGTTGAGCATTTGGACTCGAGGGCATATAAAATTTTTAGTCCTTGCGAGGCTGCCGGTATTAATTTATTATACAAGTAAAAAGGCTCATGGGTTGTCACTATTTTGTGGAAAAATGAAAGGGCTCTAAGATTAATCCAGGAGTTTAAGTTTAAGTCAAGTAGTTTAGTAGTCAAGTGTGATACATGGTCAAAACGATTTAAATTAAACACATTACGAACAATAGATTTTAAGGCTGTGACTAATTTTCTCGTGTCCCGTGTGTCGCAAAACCCAAATATTTCTATACCATAAAACAGGGTGGGAATCAGAATGGTTTTAGAAATCAGGAGTTTTATGTGTTCGGGTAAAAAGTTTCTGGTATTTGCCAATTGACGCAAGATACCATAGACTCGAACGGTTGCTTTCGATATGTGATTGCCCCAAGACAGGGTGTTGTTGAACGTTAGTCCCAGATTAACTGCATGATCGACATAGCTTATAGGTATATTATTTATTATTGGTTTTGTAAGGTCATTTGTATCAATTGGCCTGCGACTAATTAAAATAGATTTTGATTTTTTGGGGTTTATACTCAAGCCGTTATGTTCAGCCCACGTTTGCACTAAGGACAACATTCTGTTACAAGTACTCATACATACATTTATTTCACGAACAGGACTACTGACATAAATCTGGACATCATCGGCAGACAAATGTACTTCACAATCGGACAGGACATTTGGTAAATCATTGACATATATTGCAAACAGTAATGGGCCAAGGACTGATCCCTGAGGAATGCCACGAGTCAGTTTTTTACGGCGGAGGTCACCGCCCCTGCTACAACTGCTTGAAGTCTATCAGTAAGATAAGACGCAATCAGTCTAACTGAGGTATCCGAAAAGTTGAATAGGTTTTTTAGCTTGGTACAAAGTATATTGTGATTCAAGGAGTCAAAAGCCTTACTATGGTCAAGTAGCGTCAAGATTGTAACATGGTTTTTGTCAAGTTGTTGTCTGATGTCCTCTGTGATGTCCGTTATTGCTGTTAAACAGCTTCTCTTCCTACGAAAGCCAGATTGTTTATTGTGTAGGAGGAGGTTTCTATCCAGGAAACCTTGTATCTGGCCGGCTAGTACGTTTTCGAACACTTTTGAAAAAAATGGCAAAATGGAGATCGGTCTGTACTCATTGTTTTGTTTAGGAATCGGTAGTATTTTAGCCAATTTCCACGCGGTTGGGAATGAGGACTGTGTAAGAATAGAGTTAAAAATATACGTAACATAGGGCAGTAGACATGGCAACAATAATTTCAGAAATTTAGGATTTATGTTGTCTAGACCTTCCGCATTAGATTTAACTTTAAGTATACAATCAAGGACATCACATTGGCTAACACACACAAAGTTAAATATATTATCACAGGGGGCTACGCTGTTCAGGTACACGTTACGTTTTGCTTCAGGTACATTAATTGTAGTGAACTGTTGATTTAATTCTTCAACATTAACGTTGAGCTCGGTTTTCTGTACGCACTTTCCGATCCCTAGCTTTTTTAGTTCTGTCCATCTGTGTTTTGATGATATACAGTTATCAAATTTTTGTTTGTAGTGGTCACGTTTAGCCAATTTTATTTTTTTGGTAACCGCTTCCCTGGCTGTCTTGTAATGACTGTGGAGTTCGTTAGTTTTATAACGCTTCCATCTTTTAAAAGAGGCATCACGCTGTCGTATAAGATTCTGAATTTCTATAGTAAACCAGGGGGTCTGTCTGGGCTTTGGCGTTTTTGTTTTTAAGGGTACGAATTTCTCAAACAGGTACTGTATTTTGCTATTTAGGATTTGGAGTTGAATGTCAACGTAAGGTTGGAGATAAATAGTTTCCCAGTCACATAAACCTAAATCTAATTGAAGTCCAGTATAGTCAATATTCCTAAAGTCTCTATAGGCAAAAAAGTCTGTTTTATAGTCTAAGGACGTGTCATATGTCAGAAAAATTAGGTCGTGTCTAGAAAAAACTGGTACTGAAACCTGGTCATAAAGTAAAATCTTGCTGGGGTCATTTATAAAAAATAGGTCAAGTAGGGTATCACAGGTGCTGCTGAAATGCGTTGGCGTCGTGTCGTTAGCTGGATAAAAACCCAAGGACTCAAAATTATCTAAAAGGTGTCTTTCCTTTAACAGATTGCTGTTAAAGTCCCCCTGCCAAGATGACATCTGTGTACACCATAGATAAGTCGGCAATTGTTGTCAGTAGTGGCTCGTATTCAGTCGTGGTGTTGGGTCGGTATATACAGCCAATCAGCGTATTTCTATTATTTTTACAACATATATCAAGAAACAGGTACTCTAATGGACAATCACTGAGTTGTTTACATTTAACAGTACATTTAAGAGTTGTTTTAACAAAAATAGCTACCCCTCCTGCAAGACCGACGCGATCCGAACGATACACAGCATATCCATCACACGACAATAGTACATCACAAACATTTATTGAGAACCACGTCTCAGACACACAAATTACATCTACGTCAGAATTAATAAAAAGAAAAAGAAAGAAAGAAAAGAAATTCATCCATTTTTCGCAATAGACTCTGGGCATTTAGATGAACAATTTTGAGCCCGATTTTACGTTTGCTAATAACTTTTATCAGGCTATCAGTTATGGAACACCTTACTTCATCCGGCACTGGAAGATTTGGCTAAAGTTAGGAATGCAAGCTCAATATCTGCAAAGCAATTTAGAAACATAGAAGTGTAAACAAACAACAAACGATAACAAAATTCTAAAGATAACTTGATAACATTACCGACTATATCTAGCGGTGATCTTCGCTGCCGTGAGTGATTAATAAGCTCATTTCCGGCTAGTAATTCGGCATGTAAGTGCTGAAAGTGCGCATATATAGAGTTACATGCATTGACGTTTTGTAATTCTGAACACTTGTGTTTGAGTTCAGTTATCCCGGCAGCCAATACTCTCATATCACTCCAATATGGTTGCAAGTCGTAATATACAATGATGGTCCATTCTGAAATTGCCATTCTAGAGGTCCCGATTCTTTCATAGAACAGTCCTGGCTGATTTGTGAAATGCGTGACCTTTGTTTGTTGTCCCATCGCTAGTGGCAGAATGAGTAACATTGCCAGCAGGGTTGGAAGGATTGAAGGTGATACCTTCCTCCTCTGTGTTGGCATCTCATCCTTTGACGTTGTATCTTCGACGGAACTGTGCGGACGTTTAACGGCTGTTTCTTCTTTTAACAGTGGCGCGAGACGAGTTACTGACCGTTTGAAGATCCCAGATGCAGTCTTTACATTTACTACTCGGACATGGTCGTCCTTACCGGGATAAGTCTTCACTATTCGTCCCATTGGCCAACTCATCACAGGCACATTGTCTTCCTTGACTAGCACAAGTAGTCCCTCCTTCACGTTTTGTGATGCCGTTTTCCACTTGTTGCGCATCTGAAGCTCTTGTAGATACTCCATAGACCATTGGTCCCAGAACATTTGCTTTAATCTGGACACTAATTCCCATCTTTTCACCAACCTTTTCCCTGGTGAGGATAGATTTGCATCGGGAGCGGCGGTCAACGGTTCACCAATCATAAAATGGCCAGGAGTCAAAGCTGATGTATCTGTTGGATCAGATGACATTGGTGTCAGCGGTCGGGAATTGAGGATTGCTTCGACTTCCACGATTACGGTGTTAAGCTCCTCAAATGCTAATGAAGATGTGGCTGTGACTGATACTAGAAGCTGCTTCGCAGATTTCACCGCAGCTTCCCAAAGCCCGCCAAACGATGGTGCTCGGGGCGGTATGAACTTAAACTCCACTTGCTTTTTATTGCAATGGTTTATAATCTGTTCTTGAGCCTTGTCGGTGAATATAGCTCCCTCTAGGGGCTTCAATTGATTATTGGCACCGACAAAGTTTGTTGCGTTGTCACAGTGAATAGTCTGACATTTTCCGCGTCGACCCAAAAATTGTCGAAGTGCAGCTAAAAATGCATCTGTTGTCAAATCACTTACTAACTCCAGATGAACTGCCTTTGTTGCAAAACAGCAGAAGACTGCAATGTAAGCCTTATCAGGTCTTTTTCCACGTAGTTTGTGATGAATCCAAATCGGTCCGCAGTAGTCAACACCAGAGTTAAAGAATGGCCGAGCTTGTGTTACTCGGTCAGCTGGTAGGTTGCCCATGATTTGTTGCATCAACTTGGGCCGTGTCTTTGTACATCTGACACAGCTGTGAATTATGCTTCTTGCCATTGTTTTATCATTGAGAATCCAATATTGTTGTCTGGCAATGGCTCTTAGAGCTTGAGCCCCGCAATGCATGTTCTCTTTATGCATCTCTCGCAGTAGCATTTTCACAAGTGGATCGTTGTATGGAAGCAAAATTTGATGCTTCGCGCAAACTCTGATCAGTCCGTCGTTTCCGATTATAGGACATAGGGAGACAATCGAGCTCTTTTTGTCCAATGTTTTGTGGATTCGGAGTTGTTTGTATTCAGCACAAAAATCAATTGGCTGGATAGTTCGCAGGATGATAGTCCTTGCATTGGTTACCTCACCGACACACAATGTAGTTGTGAGTGATCTGTTTTTCTTGTTACAGAACCGCACTTGTAGAGTACACTGCCAATTTCATTTTGACATGTGGGCAAGCTTATGTGATTGAGCCTGCGTTCTAGATCGCTGGGGGTGGTAGTTGGTACCAGAGCCCACTTGTCGCGAGAGCCATGTAGAAATAGAGGTCCATATAGCCATAGATTGTGTTCTGCCAACTTGCTGGCGGCAATTCCTCTTGATAGTACATCTGCTGGATTGTTAGCTGATGACACGTGACGCCACTGAGATTGGTCTGAAACAGCTTGGATTTTTGCGATTCGATTTGCCACAAACGTGTGATATGATGATGCTGATGCGTTTATCCAGGACAGCACCACAGTCGAATCTGACCATAAGTATCCAGGTACCTTATCGTTTGGTATACGTAAATCCTTCCGCACCCTATGGGTTAGCTCTGCTCCCAAGACTGCGGCGCATAGTTCCAGGCGAGGCAGCGTCTCTTTTGCTGTCGGCGCTACTCTTGACTTTGAGCACAGTAGCCGAACAGACACTTGATTGTTCTTATATGTGGCTCGGACATAGATTGCTGCTCCGTATGCCCGCTCTGACGCATCGACCACCTTTCCGTCAAAGATGTGCCGTGGAATTTGTAAATTGTTCAATGCTTGTAGATCAGCACGATAATTTTTCCACTCAGTTTGCGGCAGTTGAGGAAGCTCGTCGTCCCAGCCCATCTTCAGCTCCCACAGGCTTTGCATGAATATCTTAGCCTTTACCACAACAGGAGCGAATAGTCCTAGTGGATCGAAAATTTGTGACGCCTCCGAGCTCACCACTCGTTTGGTGATGGTTGACGCTTCACTTTTTTGGGATCGCCCACATAGCTGATCCTTATTTGGTACCCAGATCAAACCCAATGTTTTCACACTGTAGTGTTGAAGGGTTTCGTCTAATTTGACGTGGTTGACTATGTCTTCCTTTGGAATTTGTGCTAGAACTTCGTCATTGTTGGAGCACCACTTTCGGAGCTTGAATCCGGCTGGTAGCAGTATTTTGTTTAGCTCTTGTTGGATCTGAACTGCTTCTGGGATGCTATTTGCTCCTGTTAGACAGTCGTCTACATAAAAATCATGCTTGAGCACGGCTGCTCCAAGCGGTAAATTCTTTTTGGTTTTCTCAGCTAAGTAATCCAAGCATTTTGTAGCTAGGAATGGAGCTGATGTTGTACCGTATGTTACGGTTTTAAGTCGATAATACTTGAGTTCGTCTGATGGGTTCTTTCGCCAGACGATTAAATGATGAAATTGATGATCAGGATCAGTGCTGCCAACTTTTGCCCAGCAAAAAAAGCTGTTTTTGACGGGAAGAATTCAGAAAAAAGCTAAAAAAATATTCAAAAAAATCTAATAAAAAGCTAAAGAAAAATGTATAAAAAAAACGAAAAATGTCAAATAAATAACAATTTATTAAGGTAATTTTTGCTTAAGATATTTCCATAAACTTATTAATATCTTCTTGGTCGTCCTCATTTGCGTATTACATATTAGTACCTATCATGCGCAGATATTTTACAGGCACTTCATAGTCGACGCACCAATACTTCGCAATCCTTTTCTGTATATTAAAATAGAAAATGAATACAGTATATCTTTTGCTTGTAAATAAAACTTTACGTTTTGCTTAGAATTTTGTTAGACGTGCTGAGGCCTATCGAATTCCTTAATTTGGATCTAATTACATAGGTTAACCTGACTAAAAACGCTTTCTATTTCCGCGTTTGACCAGGGCAAACATAATATTTGGATGGCCACAGTTGCAAACTCAAAAAATCTTCGGTTTCCACCAGAATCTTTAAACTGGAGCACATTAAACTAAAATTTGTTTGTGTAGCTGATGTTTTCCCACTTTATCAAATTGACGTTATTGTATTGGCGTTCAATTTCTGCATTATTCCTCCATTCCAGGAACTCTACAATTTCTGTGATGCTGAAACTTTTGCATATTTTGACTTTAAGAGTTAACAACACAAAAAAGTCGGGAAAAAGCCAACTTAATTTCTAAAAAAGCCAGAATTCCCGCTTTTCACAATTCCCGCAATTCACAAATTTTTCCCGCAGTTAGTCTTCAAAAAAAGCCAGTTTTGACGGGAAAAAATCCAAATTGGCAGCACTGATCAGGATGTATCCATACCTGGCGATACATTTTCTCTATATCGGCTGTAAACACGTACTTGTGAGTGCGGAAACGTAGCAAAATTGCAAACAGTTCGCTCTGTACGGTGGGTCCAGCATACAAAATATCATTTAACGACTTGTTGCTGGTGGTCTTGCAGGAAGCATCGAACACTACCCGTAGTTTTGTAGTGCTCCTTTCGGGTTTTAGCACACAGTGGTGCGGGATAAAGTAGTGATCCGTAGGTATCCTTGTGGGAGGCACTTCTTTCATGTGTCCAAGGCTTTCATACTCGTCCATAAAATCTACGTAACCTTTCCAGACTTCAGGTGATGTTCTGCGCTCTAGTGCCAGAAACCTGTTAGTTGCAGTTTTCTGCGATGCCCCCAGGGTTGATGATTGCTCAGAAAAGGGAAGCTTTACTATGAACCTTCCATCTGCTGCGAATTGGAGATTTCCTAGGAAGTGTCTTTCGCAATGAGCCTCTATCGGTGATTTTGGTTTCTCTTCCGTTTCTAGGTTCTCCAAAGTCCAGAAACGTTCCAAAAGCGTGTCGATTTGGTCCTCTGTGGTTACAGGCGCGCAAATTGCTGCTTGGCTGTTTTCTGCAGATACTTTTCCGGCGACAATCCAACCAAGTTTAGTATTTTGTAGGACCGGGCCGCCTGGTTTTAACATCATCTGGTTTGGCAGTAGTAACGAATAGTAGTGCTCAGCTCCGATAAGCATGTCAATCTTTCCTGGCTTATCAAAGTTTGCATCTGCCAGAGCGATGTTTTGAGGGAGTGATAGATTTGTTGGATCTAGCTGATGAGCCGGTTGATCAGCTATAATGTGTGGTAACACAAAAGCCTCGACTTGCTGAGTAAAGTCATTATGCATTGATTTCATTTGTACATTCACTCTAGCTCGACTAGTCTTAGGATTGCCTCCAATACCTTCGATACGTAATGAAGTACCGTGGAGCCTTAATGATAGCTTTGAAGCCATTCGTTCAGAGATCAAGTTTATTTGAGATCCTGAATCAAGCAGAGCTCTGAAAGTGGCCACCTGACCATTGCTTGCTTTTACTGATACCTTGACTGTGGCCAGCAGATTGTAACTCTTGTTATTTGCTGCCCCTACAGAAGGTGATTGTGGTTCAGTTGCTGCACCTGATGACGTTTCAAGATGCAGCAGTGTATGGTGTTTTTTATCGCATTTAAAACACAAACGACCTCGGCATTCCTTTGCCTTGTGGTCGCTGCTGAAGCAGTTGACACACATTCGTTGTTTTTGTACCCAATTGAGTCGTTCGGGTATTGGTTTATTACGGAAGTCATCACATTTGTATAGGCAATGATTCCGTTTGCAAAATGGACAGCTTGGTAATTTTCCAGCGCTGGCAGAAGTGCATGTTGGTCCCTTCTGATCCCTTTTTGCTTGTTGACTTCTTTTTCCTGTTCCCAGTACGCGAATTCTCTGGTCGAGGAAGTTAAGTATTGTGTCGAGACCTTGCAGTTGTCGAGAACCATCCAACGACTGTTCGTACAAGGCTCTATTAGCAATATCCAATTTTTGCTTGATGATAGCAATCAATATTGTATCCCAGCTGGATACATCGATTCCTAGTCCCCTTAATGATGCCAGGGACTCGATAGTTGTTATATACAACTCTTTCAGTGATTTCGGATCGTCACTATGTGTGTGGTGTTGCAAGAGACGATTAAGAATCGTGTCGGCTACGTGTCGGGGATTATTGTATTCGTCGACCAAGATGCCCCTTGCGCTTGTGTAGTTTTCTTCTTTTAGATCGATGTGTCTTATCAATCTCTCTGCCTCTCCAGTTACGGTGGTTTTTAGATACCACATTTTCCGTACTGTCGGCATGTTGGTGTCATGGACCATGCATTTGAATAAATAAAAAAACTGCGTCCATTTGAGTAGATCCCCATCGAATTTGGGGATGCTAACTCTGGGCAAGTGTACATCTTCATTGCTCGATGCATTAGTTTTTGCCCCTAACACCTTTTGGATGTCCCTTTCCAGTCGGAGAAATGACTGCATGTCGTATCCTCCCTGACCGGGTCTTCGTGTTCTTCATGAACAGCGAAGTGGATCTCCTGAACTTGTGACCATAGTGATTTTATCAAATCACCTGTAATGGTTTTTCCAGTCTCTGAAAATTCTTTCAGAGCCCGATGGATAGAGTCTGATATGGCTCTTTGTCGGCGACATGCCGACATGAGTTTGCCCACAGGCTGCTGTATGCTTGCAGCGTCTGCGTTTCCTTGGGCATGGATCGTAGTTTGAGCCATTGCGTCAGTTATGGGGCTTCGATACTTGTCGTATGAGTCACGACAGTCTTTGTAAAATCTTAGATATTCCGAGGTTCTATATTTCTCCAGAACATTACGGTCATTTTCCGCAAATCGATTCCACGCTTCATCGATTGCGGCCAACTTAGATTGAAAGTA